AGTGCGGGGAGGAGTTTGCGAGGGGAGGCGCCTGCAGGGGCTCCCCCAGTTCTGCGCTGGGAGCCCGGGCACAAAGAGCCTTCTGCACTCGCGCCGCAGGACTGTCGACCCGAGGTAAGCCGCCGCCCCATCCTCACGGCCACCCCTCCCCAAGCATCCGCGTCCCCGCGCCGCCAGGAACAGCTTAATTCCCCGAGGTAGGTCCCAGGGTCCCAGGCAGGGGTCAGGGGGTGGCAAACGCGCCCCAAGTGCCCCGATTTGATGGATGAAGAGCCTCCCTCTCCAGCCCGCAGTTGTCAGATGCAGCTGAGACCCCGGCTTGGGTGGGGCGCGGGGAAGGAAAACGGAAGGATGCGCTGGGAACAAAGACCCTCCCACCCCGCTGCCAGACGGACACCAGGGGACCCCAGACCTTGTCGGCTCACCAGGTTCGCCGTTAACTGGCCAGGTCTTGGACAGAGCCCGGTGGTCTCAGAACTGGGGGTGTGGACGGGTTGGACGGGTTGGCGGAGCGGGGTCCTGGAGCCGCCCTCCCTCTCACTGAGACTACTCTCCCCGCTGGCGCCCGCCAAGGACTCAAATCCCAGGTGTCCAGCGTCCCGTGCGCGGCTCCCAAGGGCTGGACAGGGCCAGACAACCGCCTTCGTTGAGAATAAAGGCATCGATAACGGTAATAACACATCAGTTTACGCAGAGCTTGCTCTGTGCCAACCACATGCGCGGTGCTTTGCCTGCGCGACCACCACAGTCCCGCGGGGTGGCAAGAACCCCATTTTAAGGATGAGGACACTGAGATCCAGAGAGGGCGGGGGACGCGTCCAAGGTCACACAGCCAGTGATTTTGAATCCAGATAGGTCGGACCCTGAAGCCCAGGTTACACCCCCAAACGGGACCGAGAAGATCCCAGAGCGCACCAGCTCCCTCCCCATCTCTCCTCGCCAATGCATTCCGTCTGGAGAGGCTGGGAACCGGGCAGGGAGGGGCCAGATCTCTCCTCTCCCCCAGCGGAGGACCCTGGGCTAGAGAAATTGCCTCTAAGTCTGTGCAAGGGGGAGACCCCGGGAGCCTGGGTTCCCCACCCTCATCCCAGGCTCCAGACCGGTGGCTGCCGCGCGCCGGGAATCGCCGGCGCGCACACCCCACTGCGGTGCCGCCGCGAGGAAAACACCCCCACCTGCTGCTGGGGGAAGCGGGGAGGGTGGGGAGAGAAAGGCGGGATAAAGTGCGGGAAGAGGCTTTGTTTTTCTCCAGCCGCAGCCAGACCACTGCCCAGGGGCGCACGGCTTTACTTCCCAAAGCGCGTTCCCGTTTGGGAGCGCCTGGGGGCGTCGCGATCCTGGGCCCGCGTGGGGGCCGGGGGCCGGGGATGAGTAACTCACTCCACTTGATGGACAGGGAGAACTGAGGACCACGGCGCTGAGACTTCAGGGGCGGGGCTCCCAATACGCAGGCGCGGGGGCCACGTGGCCAGGGGATGAGTCAGCAGGACGGTGTGGGGCTGGGCATCTGGGTGTGTCCTCAGACCCCCGCCTCCCGCTCCTCGCTCCTCGTGCAGGTGGTCAGACCATCTGTGGAGGGAACAGTCCCTCCCCCCCCACATCTCTCCCCTCACCCCTCGGCCAGAACCCCGGTGCAGAATGGTTTCCTCCCCCAAGCTTTGCGTGGCCTTGAACTCATCCCATGCTCCGTGTAGTTAATTCTACGTGGAAAGAATTTTAAGGGTAGCATCCCCTCTGCCCATAAGGCCCAGGTATTTTATGATTCAATGACCCTGGGCATCCAGAAAGATTTGGAAACCTTCCTGCCCCGCTCAGCTTGTTGTCCCAGGAGCGCCCCTATTTCTCTGCACTCCCTCAAGCTATGCCTGCTTCCAAAATGAGAATTTTACAACGTTTGGTGATTTTTACGAATTTCCTAAGTTTAATAAAATGCGTGATAATTGGAGGAGCTTAAGGGGAAAAGGGAAGAAAAGTCCGTCGTTGCATCAGCCAAGAATAACTTCTGTACTGACCATTTTCATGCGTTTTCTTCCGGCATCCATTTCTGCTACTGGAAACACTAATTGAAGCTGTGCTACCCGTACGCCGCTTTAACAGGCCACATGGGATGAGTTTCTCGGTGGTTTTAGCCGCATTGTCAGAGGACTGGTGTTTCATGAAGCAGACATGCTCACTCTACTCAGCTCCCTATTGTGAGACCTGCCAGTTTTTCTTTTGTTTTGTTTTTTCTCCTTCAGTTTTAAGTTCTTTTCTCTGGCCCTTTCTCTCCACGCTCCCACCAGAGCGGGATTATGCTCTGAATGGATCACTCACTGAGGCAGCGCGGTGTGGTGGGAAGAGGAAGGACCAAGAGCCACACTACCCTCTCCCCCTAGACCCTGTGTCAGCCTCAGGAAGGAGGTTATTTCCCTTCTCTGAGCCTCAGTCTCCTCCTCTGTAAAGTGGGAATCAGAGGCCCCGATTTAAAAAGCCGTTGTGAGGTTATGAACCAGTGTGTGTAAAATGCCCGACGCCCAGTAGGTGCTTAATACAGACATGGCTGCTATAGTGCACCCACTGTGTTCAGGCTGAGCTCACTTACTCAGCCCGCCCCCCAGTTTGTATAGATACTTAGTTATTCGCTTTTATTTGTATTGGGCTGTTGGTTCTTGGGGTGACCCTGGGGCTGTTTGAGTGTCGTGTTTCTGGAGCAAGAGGCCCATTGTGCAGGTTCAATGGGCTGGTGAATAACTTATAACAGAGCCCTTTGTCCCCGGGGCATCCGGGCATCCTTCCTCCGTGTCTGCAGCCAGGCTCATCTGTCAGCTGGAGCTCTGAACAATAGCAGAGATACTCGGGGCAGAGGCAAAGCTGGCTGAGGGTGACATCTGTCTCCCCAGCCCTCTGTCGGCTGATTGGATCAGATGTGGCAGGTGTCCCCTTCTCCCTTATGGTGCCAGGTGGGCCCCTCAGAAGGCTGCCCCGTGAGTCCTGAAGGGGAGGGAGGGGCTGAACTGCTGTGTGCCCAGCGGGGTGGAGCAGATCATTCTTGGGAACCAACGCGAGCTCCCCTTTAGTAACCATTTGCCGAGGTTCCGGCGGGACCCTGCCTCATGGAGACCCCATGATGAGCCTGGGAGCTGGGCCTGACAGATGAGAAGCGAAGGCTCAGAGAGGTGAAGCGACCGGCTCAGAGTCACACAGCATGTTAGCTGTAGAGTCAGGATTTGAACTTGAATCTAGTACAACTCAGAACCGTTTTTGTCGCTGCTACACGACAATACCACCTCTCTCTCCTAAAAGCGAACTCAGTTGCCTCAAGTCCATAGAAACGATTAGAGTAAACCGATCAAAGATGGTTTAACAACTGCGGTCCAGTTTCTTCACAGTAACAGTAACGCTGATGCCCACGGTGTCCGCCAGGTACGCATACCTTCCCCAGGCCTTTTCTCCTTTAAGCCTCCCCCACAACGCCCTGCATTTGAACGGAAGCCTTCTGCCCCTTTGGGGTTCAACAGGCCTGTTTACAATCCATTGGCACCATTTTCTCCCTGGGTGACCTAGGAGCAACGCACTTTACCCTCGAGCCTCAGTTTCCCCATCTGTAAAATGGGGACAATGAAACCCAGGTCTTGTTTCGTCAGGTGGATAAAGATGCCCCCAGTCAGTATCTGTCCTCAGGAAATGTTAGCTTCCTTTCCTTCCCCTCCTTCTTGCTTTTCTCTTTTCTCTCCTCCCCACACAGCTCAGAGGCTCCCTGGTGTGAGGGGGAGTTGAAGACTGAAGCCCCTCTTTTGTGTATGTTGTTCGACTTGGTCCAGAAACAGCGCATTCCGCCGCTCTGAAACCTCAGTCCCCGTCAGCCCGCGGCACCCCCACTCAGCCTGTTATTCCACGGCTCTCACTCAAGCAAAGCAATTTAGGCCAACTTCTCCCGTGTGCCTCCCGTCTCCGGGCAGCTATTTTATCCCCGAGTCAGGGAAAAACCCACAGCCAGAGGGATCCTAAAGTGCAACCAAATGCGTGTTTTCCTGGTAGCCGTTCCTTCACGACCAGGGATGGAGCGCAGAGCTCAGGGGGGAAATGGATGGCCCATGGGTGGTGTCAATGAGCAGCGTGGACCAGGGCAGGAGCCATAGAGCGCGAGCGGATAGATCATACTCATCGCCCCATTTAGTCTTCACAACCGCCTTGGGAGGCAGGCACTGACTGTCCCAGGTGCTGGGTAAGAAGCCAGGCCCAGAGGGGTGATGCTCCCGCCGAGGGGGCAGAGCAGGACAGGGATCCGTGCGGTAAAGTCCTATTTCCCTGGGGCATTAGGCTGTTCTGATTGGCACTGGCCTGACCAAGCTACCTGTCAGTTTCCTGCTTGACTTCTTTAAAAAAATATATTTGTATTGATTTCAGAGAGGAAGGGAGAGGGAGAGAGAGAGAAACATCAATGATGAGAAAGAACCATGGATTGGCTGCCTTCTGCATGCCCCACACTGGGGATCAAGCCTGAAACCCGGGCATGTGCCCTGACCTGTAAGGGAACCTGTGACCTCCTGGTTCATAGGTCGATGCTCAGCCACTGAGCCATGCCAGCTGGGCCAGTTTCCTGTTTGACTTCTGATCTGCATCCAAAGAGATCACAGCCCAGTGTCCGTCTCCTGGGCGGGGGTCTGAGGACACACCTAGATGCACAGGCTGTGATGTCAGACCAGGACCCCTGGCACCTATTCTCCAACGTGCCCACGGGTACCTATGTACCAGTATTCCCACACCCCCGTCTCTCTCTTGATGACAGGAGTTCCAGACATGTCACAAGGCCACCACGGCCCTCACAGCATCAAAGGAGTAACCAAGATGACCTTTCCTCTCCGGTGCACCCGCGGGACCGTAGAGACCAGCATCAGGCCCTGCACCCCGTCCACCATGAGAGCCGTATGCGCGGAGACCTGACTCTCAGAGGTAGGAGGGACCCCTAGGGATCTCTGGGGTCCAGTCCCTCAGTCAAAGCTTTCCTCATGGGGCACTGACCTTGGCCTCAGGTGGGTGGGGTGTGGCTCATGTGGGCCAATGGGAGCTGAGATCGTGGGGTCCGGGGGCCCCCCACCAGGTCTCTGTATGGCCTTTCATCTGGCCCTTCTTGGTGCTTGTCCTCTGTCAACACATCTAAACGGCTTTTGAAAACAAAAACTTTATTGAGGCATAATTTACATACAATGAAACGCGCATATTTAAAGCATACATCTCAATGTGTTTTCATAAATGTATCCACCTATGTAATCACCATGGCAATCAAGAGAGAAAACATTTTATCACCCGAAAGTGTCCCCCTGCCCATCCCCTTCCAGCCCCATTCACAGGAAGCCACGGGTCAGCTTTCTATGCCTCGAGATAAGAGCGTTAATCCGAAAGTGCCGTTAACATGGGAACTTTTGTGTCCGGGTTCTTTGTTGCTCCGCGTAATGTGTTTGAGGTTTGTACTTGTTTTTGCACGTGTCAGAAGTCCTATCCTTTTTTAAAAATCTAACTTCGTGGAGGCATCATTGAAATATCAAGTAACGCATCCCTTTCAAGTGCACAATTCAGTGATTTCTAGTGAGTTTACCAAGTTGTGTGCCCAGCACCGGAAATCGGTTTTAGAGCGTTTCTTTGTCCCATGAGACCCCTCACACCCACTTCCCGTTAATCTCCATCCCACCCCTAATCCCCGGCAACCACTGACCTACTTACTGTCTCCGCAGGTTTGCCTTCTGTGTACATTTCATATACATGGGACCGCCAGGCATGTGGCCCCTGGCGCCTGGCTTCGTTTACTCCATATCATGTTTTTGAGGCTCATCTGTGCTGTAGTATTATCAACAGTTAGTTCCTTTTTACTGCAGAGTAGGTTTCAGTATATGAGTGTACTACGGTTGGTTTATCCAATCACCACGATGGGGTTTGAATTAGGTCTGTGTTTCCTAACTGGGTATATACCCCCACCCCGCCGCCTCCCCCAGCCCCAAGGGGGTGTGTATGCCACAGGAAAAATATGGCCTGTATTTCTGGGACATCCGTATTCCACAAAGTTTTTTTTTTTTTTTTTAATTTATTTTATTGATTTTTTACAGAGAGGAAGGGAGATAGTTAGAAACATTGATGAGAGAGGAACATCGATCAGCTGCCTCCTGCACACCTCCCACTGGGGATGTGCCCGCAACCCAGGTACATGCCCTTGACCGGAATCGAACCTGGGACCTTTCAGTCCGAAAGCCGACGCTCTATCCACTGAGCCAAACCGGTTTCGGCCACAAAGTTTTACTCCAAGTTTAAATATCATTAACTGGTGAAAGTAATTTTTTAAAATGTATTTTATTTTTTATTGATTTCAGAGAGGAAGGGAGAGGGAGAGAGAGATGGAAAGATCAATGATGAGAGAGAATCATGGATCAGCTGCCTCCTGCACGCCCCTTACTGGGGATCAAGACCAAACCTGGGCATGTGCCCTGACGGGGAATTGAACCTTGACCTGCTGGTTCATGGGCCAACACTCAACCACTGAGCCACACCGGCCGGGCATGGCAAAAGTATTTTTGGAACATTTACTGTGTGCCAGGCAGGGGCTAAACCTGAGGATTAATTGTGAGTCATATATATGTGGGGTTGGGGACCACAGTCCCCCATGATTGACCTCAAAGCCTTCCTCTCTGCCCTCCTAGTCAGCTGTCGGCTTGACCTAGAAGCTAAAGTTGCCCTTGAAAATTCCACCGCCTTATGGCCATCAGGCTCCTGGGCACACGGATGGGGGCCAGGAGAAAGGGACTTTGGGGTCACACGATGCTCCTCTGAGGGTCTCTTTACAGAGCACAGCCAGTTCCTGGGGCAGAAGTGAGAGGAGGGGATGTCTGAGAGCTTCTGACGGTCAAGACCACGTGGGAAGCAGCCTTGCAGATAAGTATTCAAGCTGACCAGCCCGCAGCCGACCAGCCTGCCCTGTGCTGGTCTGTGCAGGGAAGGTGGTATCCCGGGACCCCCAGTGGGAGGGGAGATTGGTGATGCAGCTCATTCACTTTCCTCCCTCTCTGCCACAAAGAAGGGGCTGGTCCCCACTTTCTGGGGCCCCGCAATGGGTCATTTTCGCACCCCGCTTGTGGCCTCGAGGCGAGTATTTTATAAACGCCACCATCAGGAAGTTGTGAGGAGCTGAGTTAGTTACTTCACTGCACGCGGAGCTGGCATCAGGAGGAGGTGGGGGGACTCCCAGGGGCTGGCCTGCCTGCCTTCTGGGTCCTGCCCCTTTGTCATCATGTTGCTAAGACTCGGCCAGGGCTCCTCTGCTAGGCAGTCGCGTGGGGACCCAGCACCGCGCCTGGAGGGCACATTCTTCTCAGGGCAGGGGGCTCAGTACCCCTGCCCCACGTCCTGGACCCGTACCCAGTCCCCGTGCTGACAGCAAGCTCTGGAAATTGGCTGGTTAGCGGCGAGTCCTGCCCAGGTCCGGGCCCGGGGAGGGGCCTGGTTGCGGTTTCCTCCTGCAGTGTGGTTGGCTCTTCTGTCTTCCAGGATGGGCCTGTGGGGGTCCACGTGGGAGCCGGGAGCTGGGCCCGGGCTGCCAGCGCGTTGGCTGGGCGCTGCCGGGTAAGTCTGGGTAGGCGTGGGGTGGAGAAGGTCCATGAAACTTATTTCATGGAGTGGGCAGGGGGAGGGGAATTCTTCCTTCACCCCAAACCCTCCCCAGGTCTGGGCCTGGCCGGACACTCGAGCTCTTGGGAGCCAGGGCGCTGGAGGCTTCATCTGTGTGGTCCTGGTGGGGGTCAGTGGGTCGATGGCCGAGATTTCAGCACCTTCCTTCATTCAGCACCAACACCAACGGAGCCCTTCTCCCAGCCTGCGGATCCGGATGTGAACACCAGGCCCGTGCGTGGTTCTGTCCTCTCAGATCATCCCGTGACCATGTGCCTGATCCCAGTCTCATCAAGGGAGTGAGCTCCCCGTCCTGGGAGGTATGCACGTGTGTGTGGAGGGGGTGTATTTCGTTGAGGGGGCTGCAGAGGTCTCCTTGGAGGGAATGTTGTGGAAGGAACCCAGGCCTCCCCAGGGCTCTGAGGCCCTCTCTGCCCACCGGAACACTTGCCCCTTCTCTGGTGATGCCCAGGAGCTGGCTCTGGGTTCCCATTATTGCTTCGTCATCCTCCTAGCTAGCCCTCTGAAGGCGGGGCATCCACGGCTCTCACCACTTCCTGTTCCTAGTAGTGTCTGGAGTCCCCACCCGCACCCTGTCTAGGTGCTGGGGGCACAGGAGGGCAGCCGCCCTCAGATGTGGGGTACGGTTGGGAGGCTGGGGGGCTGGGGATGGAGGCCATGTCCTGATCCTCTCGCTCGTGCCTTCCCCAGGTGGCTCTGCATGCTCAGGACTCCGGCCTGGTCTTGTCTTTGGAGCCTGGGGGACCTGGCCGCAGGGATGCAGGGAGCAGCCTTCGGCGGTTTTCCGGAAGCCTGGACACTTCTCCCAAGACCTTAGTGGATGCAGACTCTCGTGGATGGATAACGGGCCGCCTGGGCGAGGATCAGCAAAATCAGGACCTGGCTAGGGAGGCCGGCTCGAGGGTGGGAGGGCAGCCCAGCGGCCCGCCCTCCCCTTTTGGGCCTTCCTGTCTGGGCCTGGCGGTCACTTCCCGACCTTGGGCAGACTTGGCTCCCCTTGAATCTCTGAGGGAGCCTGGCCGGGGCAGAGGCCTTGACTGCACCCTCCCCAAGACCAGGTCCCAAGGACCCTACCAAATGCAGGGGCGGGCATGGGATGGGAACATGGGATGGGAGGGAGGGCGGATGCGGCTCAGTGGGCGCCGTCGCTGGCATCTGTCTTGTGCCATTGGCCTTGTGAGTGATTCTCATTTCAGGGCCGCCTTTTGGATGGGGATTTTCCGGGCACCTCCTCTCTTTGATGGTCACTGGGAGGAGGCAGTCAGGGTCTCGGCGGAGCCTGGGCCTTCTCCCCATGTTATGGGCTCCTGGAGGAGCAGCTGGCAGTGGTGGTGGTGGTGGGAGGGGGGCGGGGGGATAGCAATTGGTGTGCCATCCTGAAAGGAGAGGGTTTGTTTCCCAGAGGGGAGGAGACCCAGGCCAGGGGACTGGCCGGAAGGAGACGGACACTGGGCCTTGTTCCCACCACCCGAAGGGGCCGGGCCGGGTCTCAGACCCCTGCTCCTTGCAACAGTCCTTGATTCTGCCCCGGGGGGCAAAGGCAGGCGGGGCAGGCCCCACGCAGGCAGGCACAGGCTCACCTCCACGCCCACCTCCCCACTCCCCGTCCATTCTAGCCGCGTCCAGAGGGGCTGCTCCCAGGGCACGCACAAGAGGTGCCAGGGAGCTCCCTGAGGCAAGCTGAGAGCTAGGCCTTGTTTTCCCAGCGTGGGAGGGGGCCTGTGCGAGTCAGCGCGAGCTGCCAGGACAGATGGGAAGCACAAATGGATTTCCTCACAGTTCTGAAGCTGGAAGTCCATCCGGGTGCCAGGGCTGCTTTCTTCGGCGGCCTCTCTCCTCAGCTTGCAGACGGCCACCTTCTTGGTGTCCTCACGTGGGCACACACCTGGGGGTGCGGGTGGGGAGGGATCCATCTGGTGTCTCTTCTTCTTTTCGTAAGGACACCAGTCCTATCAGGTTAGGGCCCCACCCTTATGACCTCATTTAACCTGAATTACCTCTTTAAGGTACCCCATCTCCAAATATAGTCACCTTGGGGGTTATGGCTTAAACCTATGGCTTTGGGGAGGGACACAGTTTAGTCCGTAATAGGGGGTCACCACAAACATGAGAAGCAGGAGCCATCTCCTCTTCACCATCCCCTCCCTGGCTAGGGTGGCCCCGGGTGCCTTGGGGACCCCCAGGGCGGTGAGGAGGAGCCCCCGGGAGAGGGGTGTCCTGGGAAGAGCCTGGGCTTTGCACCGAGGATGCGTGCTCTGCTGTACAACCTCCCCTCAGTGAGTCTGATTTCCATCTGCTCCCCTGGGGGCCGCAGCGGGGATTCCCCGGAGTCAAGTGATTGCGGAGTGCCTGTCTCCGAATCGCGGCTCCCTAAACACGCCCGCCCACCTGGAGTTGAGATCTAGGACTTGCCTGTGTTCGGCATCCGGTGTAATCTCAGCATCTGCAGAGGCATCTCTGACTAGCCCTTCCCCTGCCTGTTCTCTCAAGAGCCCTCTCGAAGCAGCTGGGGGAAGTGGCTGCATTTCACAGCCTCCGTGGTAGCCCCAAAGCGTCCTGGGGTGTTTCAGTTCTAGTGGCCTCAGTCTTGAGCATCTACCGTGAGCCCTTTCCTGTGTTAGCCACGTGGGGGTGAGGTTCCAGCCTTCAGGATGTCACTGCCGTGCTGTGGGGGAGAAGACTCGCTCCCCACAGAGAACTGGAGAACGGGGCAGAAGTCAGTCCGTGGAGGCCCAGGTTCCCAGAACGTGGGAGTTAAACCCCAGAGTGGGCTGTAGCCGTCTAGACGGGCTTCCCTGCAAGGCCCACCCAGTCAGGTCCTTGAAGGATGAGAAAGGTGACTTAGCTGAGAGCTTCCACTAGGGGTGAGGGGCCTGGGGAATCAGAGCAGAGATCCCAAAGGTGAGTTCTAGACGTCATTGCTTTTTTAAAAAAAGTGAGTTCAAATTCAGCAGGCACCTGTAATGCAGGACTTATCAGAGCCTTTAAAAGGCTGGTGGGAATCGTGCGTCCTCAAGGATAGATAGAGAATGAGGTGTTTCCTCCCAACCTTGACGGGGCAGAATCTTTTTATTTATTTATTTACAGAGTATCATTTAGCGCTGGGAAACGCTGGGGTTTCTATGGGAAAACCACAGCAAGGACAGGAGACGACATAAGTAGGGCACACACAGGTGCTTTGCGGCATCAGCTGGAGAGGCCACAGACTCGGAGCGGCAGGGAAGTCTGACCTGGATTCTGGGTGTTGGTGAGCTCTGTGCAGCTTTGGGAGGAGGAGGAGGAGGAGACAGGCTAGTGGTTGGAGCAGCCAGAGGCCTGGCTGTTGGTGATCGGAGGAGAAAGTCCACTGGACATGGTGGGTCTGGGGCAGCTGGCCTTTTGTGGGAAGACGCTGGTGTGCGCGTGTGCGTGCGTGAGTGTGACAGGATCCAGCCCCCTGGGAAGGGGCTGACCAGAAGCAGGCAGGGGGTTCTAGCCAGGACAAGCAGGGTCTAATTTGCAGGGGAACTGGAGTGTCTGGTGGGAGGGTCTTTGAGGCCCACAGTCAAGAAGAACCATGCTTCTGGGCCGGGTCCGTGTGGATAGGTTTGGTTCTGGTGGGCGGAGGGGATGGGAGGCAGGCCCCCTGCCCTGGTCAGGCCCAGCTCGCTGGCTGGAGGGGGCGGGAGGCCGGGGGCTGCAGCCGGAGGGGCCCGGGCAGTGTTGCATGAGGTGATTAACCTACTAACCCAGGGCTCGGCCGGGACGCTGTGGCGTGTGATGAGGTGCCTGGCCTTCTGCCAACCGACTAACCCACTAACCAGGCCCGAGCATGCCCTACTAACTCCCCGCAGCCAGACCCTACTAACCTCGCAGCTCAAGGGCCTTGAAAGGGGCTGGGACGTGGGGCAGATGAGGCTCCAGCAGGCCCCGCCCATGGCCCGGGATCTCTGTGCAGACCCACCTTCCAGGGCAGGGCGTGCAATGGGACTCACCGGTTGGCCCCTTCCTGCTGGGCACCCATGAGCGAGTCACCTCACCTCTCTGAACCCTGAGCAGTAGCCTGGGGGACTGATCCTTACCTCTCAGGTTTCAGTGAGGAGTCCTGCGAATAGTGAGGTCTTGACACCTGGCAAAAAATGATAAGAAAAAAAGGGTTAGGGTGGGGGTGGGAGGCCCAGACCACCTGGTTGATCATGACCCCCGCCCAGGCCCTGGCCCCTCTGGGTGTCCTGCACACAGACCCTGCTGCCTGCGGCCACACACTCGCTTGGAACCCCTAACCGTCTCTTCCCTCCACTCTTCCTCCTCCTCAGCTTTCTTTTCTGTAGGCAGCTCTTTTGTTCGGTTACTAACCTGGGTGCCTCGAGTGCACCCCGACCTTCCCTTAACAGACTAACGGACCCGTGTGTGTTCCTCCTTTTCTCCTAGTGACTCCGTGTGTGCAGCTGCGGTGCCCCTGTCTGCTGGTGCTGTGTTCTGACTTACTAACCCAGCCCCTACTAACCCTCTTTTCTCTTCTTACTAACCCCAGCCCTGCCGAGCTCTGGGCCCCCCTGGGGGCTGGTCCTGCCTCCTTTTGGCAAGCGGATGTCCCCGGGGCTGGCCCTGCAGACAGATGCTCCACTTGGCTGCCCCAGTTGGCTGTGAGTTGAGCCCATTGGGCCAGGTCTGAGGCGGGGGGACAGCCCACGGACCATCCCAGTAGCCCGGAGGACGGGGAGGTCATGTGCACCTGGGAGGCTGGCCTCTGAGCACGAGCCTCTCCTGTGCCGGGTCTGGTTGCCACAGGGACCAGGTGGGACCAGGGAATCCTCGGGGGTGAGTGTGGAGGCCTGTGGGTCTACAGTGTGGGGCACTGGGCGTTTCCCAGCCCAGGGAGCAGCGAGAAGGGCCCGTGTCCCTCTTCGCAGGGCAGCGGAGGTAGGATCTTCCCCATGGGAAGTGGATGCACAGGAGTCAATGAGGGGGGAGGGGTCCCCGCACTGGAAGTCAGTAAGAAGGGGGCATTACCCATATTTGAAGGATGGGAAGTAGTTATCCCGAGGGGACCTTGGGCCTTAGCACAGGCTGTGAGAAGTCATGGCCAAGAGACCAGTGAGAGGGGCTGCTCCTGCAACAGGCAGAGGGCTAGAGGGGCCCTTCCCCCATGCCCGAGGCTGGGATATCGGACTCTCCCACACCGGGAGTTCATAGGGCCCTTTTTCTTACCAGGGGTCATGGAGGAGGCCTGGGAAGAAAGGTCCTCCCTGGGTTTGGAGTTTGCAGGAGGAAATGTGGGGAGCAAGACGTGAACCCCAGGGTCCTGCAGGGTCCTGCAGCCCCGCAGGCCGGCCAGGAGCTCAGCCCTGGCTCCCCGTGCTGCTCCGACCCACACCCTAGTCCCCGCCGGCCTCCCCCAGAGCCCGCCAGCCGCTAGGCCAGGGCCACACCTGGGGGTGATCGTATGCCTCACCTCCAGTAGGCACCGCGGTCTCTTTGGGCTAATCGCTGGCTCCCTCGCACTAACCATTGCTCTCACCCAGCTAACCCCTGCCTTGCCCTGGCTGCCCACCCTGCCCCCCGGGGCTGACCACTCACTAACAGCCAACCCTGCCCATCTGGGGGCTCCAGGCTCCTGGCCTGGCTCTGACCGGCTCTTCATTAACCGCTCCTTCACCTCCACTAACTCCTGCCCTCCTGGTCTGTTCCTCTCAGCAGAAACTAACGGCTTGTGGATTTCCTTCTGACTAACAGGTCTAACACTCCTCCTTACCGTTACTATTAACAGCTTGGATGTCGGCATGGCTGGGGGGGGGCTGACCCACGTTTGAAATGTTGACTGACACAGGGAGAGGTGTGGCTAGTAGCCTTGGACTTGGGTGACTGCTCTGGGTCAAAGCCACCTGGAGTAAGGATCAAGGTACCGAAAGGGAGGTGCAGGGCTGAGTGTGGTGATGGGGGAGTGGTGTCGCCGGGGTCGGGTCAGAAGCAGTCTGCCTTGCGAGATCTTGGCCACTGGACACATTCTATACACCCTCATAATCTGCATTTGGGTTGTGGTCCTTTAAACAATAGCCTCATAGCTGCCTCAATAGTCAGAATGAGTGAGTGAGTGCAGCGTTTGTAGGCCCCCAAATGCCTCTCTGGTGTGTACAGACTGTGCCATGACATATGAAATCATCAGTCACCAGCCCAGGGTCTAGTCTAGAGTCTTTTGGAAACCCTAGGGCATTAAACTTTGGAGTATTCAGAAGTGGTGTAAATCCATCACCCATTTACACCTTAGCGTGAATTAGCCCAGCCTCCCGCTTCTAACTTCTATGCAATTTAGTTGCACTGAGATGATGGGCCTCTGGCTGGAAGGGAGTCTGGAAGGGCCGAGGAAGGGTGCTTTGGGAGCAGAGAGGGGAAGCCACAAGGCTGGGGGTTCCTGGGTGTTGGGAGGGGTAGGCAGGCATCAAGGGGAGGAGGTCATGGGAAGAGGGACCAGTTTTGCTGGCTCCCTCTGGTAGCCAGGGTCTCTGTGTGGAAGAGGGCAGCTCATGCAGGGCCTGGAGGGTTGGATCAGCTCAGGGACAGGGTCAGAGGCCCGTCTGGAGGCCACGCAGGCAAAGCGCTCTGGTCGTTGGCTGCTGGTCTGGGTGGAGAGCCGCTGCAGCAGTCACAGGCGCAGCTAAGCTAACCGAGTGGCGCTGGCAGTGCCGTGAAGCCCGGGCTGCAAAGGGAACAAGAGAAGGCACCAGGAAGAGCTTGTGGAAGGTGCCTGGGCTGCTGGCAGCACCGGGAATGGGGTGGAGTCTGCGCTGGGGAAACATGCCTGCTGCCCTCTAGTGGCGGCCTTGCCCCATTGCACGTAAAGCAGGAAGCTCAAAACATTTTCCATTCTGGGGAAACTTCGCTTTGTTCAACTACAAAGATTTGACGCTGCTGAGGACCTACTATGTGCCAAGCACTGC